GTGTTAGTGGAAACTGACGCAATAAATCTCGTCAGGCAGATACATAAGAACACGTATGAGCAAGAATTTCTATGTGGGCGCGGGCTTTGTTAGAATTAAATAAGTGAACGCTTTACCTGTGTACCGTTTCCGATAAGTACACAAAGCAGTAACGCATAAAACAAGACAGGCGACGACAATGCAATTGTTGCGAAACGATTTAAAAGTATAATCATGATATTTAACACGACAAACGCGCAATATTAGCATCGCGAGCCGATTTATTCTCGCGACTCCGCGACGTTGAGAGTTGGATTGAATCTCCGCTCGCGTAGAATCTTCTGCCGCAAGTATTCTCGGAGATCGTCCATCGCTAACTCTTCTTGGACCAGTCCACGTGTTTGATATAATATTTAACAGAACTAATAATATATCCGAACTGGCCAGAGAAAACAAAATATACTTTTTGTATGCACGCTTTGTCAGCGACGACAATATACGAGTAGACTTAATTTTTTAAAGTTAATCTAAAGTTGATTTTAAAAATGTATTAACCGTTTCACGACTGCGTTATTTTGCTTCTTCGTCAAGCTTTGTTTTCGTGAATAAATTTGTTTTTCATTTTTTGCCAATTGTGTTCAAAATGTTCCAAAATGTAAAAAAAAACACATTTTTTAAATCTCTGTGTGTATGTATGTGCTCCAAAAATATTGTGCGCTCTCTAACTTATGCAAAGTTTGAGATATCGGTCTGAATTGTTTTATATTAATACAGCATTATTAAAGAATAGTTGGTAATGAATTTCGTGATAATCGATGTAAAGGTTTTTTTATTTGAATTTTATAAAAACTGGCAAGCACGCTCTAACTTCTGCAAAGTTTTCATCTTTTGCCATTATCGTGTTAATTTTTTTACAATAGAGAGAGAGAGAGAGAGAGAGAGAGAGAGAGAGAGAGAGAGAGAGAGAGAGAGAGAGAGAGAGAGCGCATCATTAAAGAAGGATGCTTGGTATTGAATACTGTAATATTTTGTGTAATGGTTCATTTGTTTAAAAAAATTTAATTTGGCCCATTGAGATCGAAAAATCCATAATGATTTCAACAGCATTATTAAAAACAGGTAAAATTAAGAATAAGGTGTAACTTGGAAATGTGCACGTTGCTTCCGTATCAGTTAATTTTGTTAACATAGGACCTGTCCTAAATTAACAAAATTAACTGACGAAGGAGCAACGTTACAGTCTTATTAATTAATGCTGGGTCTCAGTTTTACTAGGATTCACATTTTCATAATCTTTATTCCCATCTGTACATCAATGATGTTTCAGGCTGTAGTTGACACAGCTTCTATAGAAGTCTGCGGTAGTACATACATACAGCCTGAAACTCGGTAATTTATTTTGTTTACTTTTTAATTTGTTTTTTGGGACACTAGCACTCCAAGGAAGCAGAGAGACCGAAGATGTAAATGGGACTTACACGTCGGTGATCATGAAAGGGCGAGGAGGAAACCGCTGACCAAAATCTTGTACAGCAATGCCCACTAATGCCCAGTGAGTATTACTTCATCTTATTATCTTATTTTATCTTATTTTATCTTTATAATGCCTCAGCAAGGCCTAATGTCCAAATTAATGTCAACAAAATGCCTAGCAATGTCCAGTAATGCCGCAAATCTGTACACCACAATGCCCTCAGCGGTTTACCCCCTCGTGAAAGGGTTAACACAAATCAAAATTTATCGATACTTGTATCTCCTCCCGAATTATCTCGTGTATCGCTAGTCGCACGGTTATAAACGTGCGACTCGAGTCCGCGATTCGGAGGACTACGATCCCTGGCGCCTAGATGTGTAATGCGAAGCGACAGTGCCAATGCCGGCGCATGTAGCGCTTATCAACAAAAACAACAATTGGTGTAATGTCACTTTGGTTCTCGCTCCGCGAGTCACATCTGCATTTGAATTGCCTTGCGCCCCAACGATCGCGTCGCGTGCACGTATTCGGCCACGTTCAAAATCCGACGTCCGCGGCATCCTCTCCCTCACCCTCGTCATCCTCGCACCCCCCTCCCCCTCCCTCCACCCTCCCCCCCCGTCGAAGCGGTTGGATCTCGTTCCCGAGCGTTGTGTTTTCCACCGTTGGAACTGGGACCCTCGTAAACGTCAAACGCACGCAACCGCGAATGTCGGCGGAACGACCGCGTGAGAAATGGCGCACCGTTCGCGATAATTATTAGCCGGCCGCCAATGAACGAAATTGTACGCGATAATTATAGCCGCGCGTTATCTTATGGCGCTTCGACGCTTCCCGCCGTCTTTAATCGACGGCGAGAGCCGGTCGTTCACGCGGAAAATTCGTGAAAATTTAGCCGGATAACGCGGCAGCTTTTAATTAACTAGCAACCCTATTGCAAAATTACAGAGATTGCCCGATATATCGGGAAAACCGTGGACGAGCGTAACGATTCGACGTGTTACACGGGTAAGAAGCGAATGCTTTTAACGAAAAGTGGATGCAGGAGCATTTGCGGAAGAGCGCGGAGCAAAAACGTTATATCTTATATTATCTCGCAGGAAATTATCTTTTACTATGCATTTACTATTATATTTTTTCCCCAGCATTTATCCGTAAACGGGTCGTATGAATATAAATGAAGCGAATGCCATTAGTGGGACCGATCCATTTCGAAAACACCAAGTAGTTTTTGAACAGGAGTAAATATCCTACGAGCGTGATTAATCTTCCTTAAGAAAGGCGAAGAATAATCTTTCCCTCAATCGAACTCCTCTCTTTAACGCGTGTCCCCATTTGTTGCGGTATTAATATTACCAACAGATTACAGTCTGCGAGATACAGATTTATAAAATATGTGCGAGAATTAAACATATTTAAAAACAATATTTGTTACAGTGACGAACAGAATGGTTGCGACACTTTTTTTTAAATGAGTTTAGGAACGCACCTTTAGATTCAGATTTACCGTTCCAAAGCACTTTCTCCGAGGGAAATTTTACTCGATGGCCATTCCGAAACCATTTTGAACGTTTTCAATCTACTTCTCGAGTAACATTTCCCTCGGAGAAAATGTTTTGAAATGTAAATTTGAATCTCTAAAGGCGCGTTTCTAAACGTATTAAAAAAGTGTTGCAATTTTGTCTATCACTGGACAGTGACGAACAGAATGGTTGCGACACTTTTTTAATGAGTTCAGGAACGAGCATTTAGATTCAGGGTTACATTTCCAAAACCTTTTTCCCCGAGGAATATTTTACTCGATGGCCATTCCGAAACCATTTTGAGCGTTCCCGATCTATTTCTCGAGTAACATTTCCCTCGGAGAAAATGTTTTGAAACGTAAATCAGAATCTAAAGGCGCGTTCCTAAACTCATTTAAAAAAGTTTTGCTACCATTCGGTCCATCATTATACAGTGATACAGGAATATTTCACTCGATGGCCATTTCGAAACCACTTCGAACGTTTTCAATCTATTTCTCGAGTAAAATTTTCCTCGGAGAAAATGTTTCGAAACGTATATCTGCATCTAAAGCCGCGTTCCTAAACGTATTAAAAAAGCATTGCAACCATTTTGTCGATCACTGTACAGTGACGAGCAGAATGGTTGCGACACTTTTTTAATGAGTTTAGAAACGTGCATTTAGATGCAGGATTACGTTTCCAAAATCTTTTTTCCCGAGTAATATTTTACTCGCTGGCCATTTCGAAACCATTTTGAGCGTTTCCGATCTATTTCTCGAGTAAAATTTCCCCCAGAAAAAATGTTTTGAAATGTAAATGCGCGTTTCTAAAAACTCATTAAAAAACAGTGTCGCAACCATTCTGTCCATCATTGTACAGCATATAAACTGTATTAAACTTCTCTGTCCCTCGAATCGCATTTAATAAACGATTAATTAAAACGAAAGTTCCCTTATCGTTTTCAGATTCTGGTTTTTTTTTCTCTTCGACTCCGAAGAAAGAAATGGTTCTCATTACGCGATAATACAGGTTATTCCGTATTCCGAGTGACAGCTCTTATCTATGACAACAAATCACAAGCTCGCGAGAAAAACGGCGTATCAGATAAAGAAACTTTTTTCGCATTCGCGAGAGCCAGCAGGAGAGAGCGGCTTATTATCGCTCGCGTGACAAAGCCCGTGTACGCCGAAGAAAATCATGCGCTCGCCTCGCTGTTAAATTAATGGATGCGGTTTATATCTTTGCGAAATACGCGGCGGTGTTTCGCGAACGTGTTTATCCCGGATAGTAGCGGATACTGGTTAAAATTAACATAAAAGCGACGCAAAAACTGACCAATTTTCGGCGCGACGGTTATTCAACGGTCCCTCGAAATATAATCGTTCATAATTTATAATTATATATACGTAAAACGTTACGTAACGGCAAAACGTGCGTCATTTTCGACACAAAAGCGCGTGTTTACGATTCCGCCGTAATTCCCGCATAAGCTGATTAAGCGATACGATTGATGCACGATGCATATGGGCAGCGGTGTCCGCTGGCGATTTCGCTTCGGTAAATCACGTGTGAATTACGAGGCCGGCCCGGAACTGCAGCGGGAGCCACGCTTGGGAAAAGATGCACGCGCGTTATACCGTCCGCAAGAAAGTTGCATCTCGCTCCTCCCCCGTCCTCCGGGCAGGTGCGCTTGCACGAGTAAGAACATTTTACCGCGGCGCAAGGAGAAGCTCGCGAGACGCGATCGATAAAGTACGAGAGCCCCCGTGCAAAGATTCCGGCGCGGAATTTTCACGAAACGCCGCTTCGCCCGAGTTATTGAATTTGATATGCGAACGTTCCTTTGTGTTATTCCGCGACATTCATACTTTGTACATGTGAAAAGAAGCTACGGGGAGGGACTGTGCGCATTGTCCCGGTTAAGACCGATATAATCTCGCTGATACTGGTTTAACCTACTTCTGATTGATGGCACTCTTTCGTGCTTTCGATCGCGCGTCGCGAGTAAAGGCGCCGCGGCAACAAATTAGTTTGTCACTCACCTCCGCGAAAAATTCCGTCATGAAGTCATCCGGCGCCCCGACGTTGACGGACACGTCGTCCGCCACATCGTCGTCGTCCGACTGGGCCTGCAAGAAATACAAGCGTTCATTAGAAACAATAAGTACCGCACCAGCCTGTAATTTCAGCCTTAAAGTGCCCTTTTGTAACTAATACAATGATAACGGGTTGATAAACAACAATGGGGAAACTTGTTTAATTCACACGGAGGGACTTTTCTTTTCAAGTTTATTATGTAGTCGTGAGACAACGCGGCATTTCAAGGAATTTTATGAGAGTTTGTTGAAATTTTACCATACATTTCACTAGTAATTATACTTATTGTTAGTATACATTTTAATGTAAAACGTGTATGGTGAAATTTCAAAAAACTCTCATGACGTTGTTCAAAATGCCACGTTGTCCCACGGCCATATGATTTTCAGGATAAATTTTAGGAGAAAATTCTCCGCGTGTACTGAATTATGCGTTTAGGTGTAGTATTTTAATTTTTGATGGATTGGAATATTAATCCAAGTTTCCATATATCTAGTTTATTCAGCTATACAACCGGAAAAGAGATTTATTCGGGTAAAACAAATGAGAAACGTTGAAATCACGTTTCTTTGAATCCACTAAATTTTTATTTACTTCTACTGAAACGTTTGCTAGATTAGAAGAAATATATATATGAATTCTCTTAGAGATTCCAGTCTTGAAATTAAGTAAAAGTCTAGCGAGGTCGAAATTCCAAGAAAATTTGTCTGATATTAAAGAAACTTTTTCTGGGTTTACTTGTTTATACGTGTAGCTACTTGTAAAGCGTTTATAGATAGGCCTGACGTAACAGCGTGAAATTTAAATTCCATGTCCGACGAGGAAAAATGTCACAGTATCGAATCATCGTGCTGATACTTGGAACGGTATGACGAATGGAATTATTTTCGAATATTACACAAGCAGTTTATTAATTAAGACAAACTCGGACGTGATCTCTTCTGATGTAAGAGCATAAACACAGAAATATATGCACGATTAACTGGTTTCGTCGACGATTGCGTACATGTGTTGTGCGCAGGCAATCTCTCTCATCCCGATAAGAGTGACTTCCTTTCACACAACATGGTAATCGCTTCCATTCGAGCAGTGATAATCTTGCCCTCGATAGAATAATCTCGCGCGTTGCAATAAACAAATGATCGTTGTAACATACAAATCGGAATCAGAGAATAATACTTTATTTTACGAAATCTCGCCTGTGCTTATTTTACTGACGTAAATCGCGACAAAAATAAAACAGGTTTACTGACAAAACAGATTCCACGCGTAGGACTCGTAATAATTTACGAAAAAGTTGTGCAACATCGAAGTGCTATGTCTGTAATTAAAACATTTTAAATTCCGGTAAAATAAATCATCACATTTTCGTCTTATTTTATCGCATCTTCTTATCTCATCTTATCGCATCGTCCGTGTTTTTATGTAAGTAATTACGTCACTATCAATTGTATCTTTGAAACATCATCAGCTACTTTACCGACGATTGAATCAATCAATTCAAACTGTTGAAGGTTAATTAATTCAGCAAATGGACCCATGATTTATTGCCGTTTCACGTTACGTATATAAAACGTTAGCTTTCTGCTGTTTTAATAAGCTACTAAAAGCCCACTATCAATATTACACAATAAGAAAACTTCCATATCTAATATTTACATACTTTTATATAATTTAATAATCATTTTAATTGGCCACGTAACCATACTGTAATTTATAATTATCGTCTTATAATTTAGCTGACTAAATATCAAACAATATGAGACGCGTATTTGTTTAAAGTTTATGACAGTCGTCATAAAAAAAAGGAATGTAAGGAATAAATTTCCGATTTAATTGATTTATTTCACGCCACATTATGAGCTGATACTTACTAAATAAATAATAGGAAATATCTCGTGAACATTGTTGAAAATATAACCTTCCTTTAGCGAATGCACAGAAAGTGTAGGAAGTGCAATCGGCTGATCGCTCGCGGGAAAATTTCTTTCATTACCGACAGCCACAGTAAACCACTGAGCTTTCTTTCATTATAAGTTTAATGCTGTTATATGAAAATGGAAATTCCGCAGAACAAAGTATCTACAGAATGTCATTACACTGTTCCTGCCTCTCGCGGAAGATTTTATAAATATTAATCAAAGTTGGAGATTATTACATAATATTGTGAATTTTGTAAACTGTTACTAGAATATTAATCAGCTCGCACTTTTTTTTCCCCATACTTTCGAGTACTTGGACAAACAACGTGCGACACTCCCGTACAGCAAGCTTCGCAAAGGAGAACATGTTGATTTTATATCATGTTAAAATAATTGTGTAAAATACAATTTGTGCCATTCGATAACTTTCATTTTGTTTTATCATCATTTTTACGTGCCCCTCGTACGAAGGACGGAATACAAAGTAAAATCAAGCTAACGTTTTGCAGGAAGCTATAAAAATGGATGATGTGTTATAACAGTTTATATAATCTGCATTTATATCGCAGCAATGTGCACAAAATGTAAACCACGGGCCGTACGGCGTGCAAAATTTATAAAATTAAACGCATGCTTTTGTAACGAAAAACCAAATGTATGCACCGAGTAGCCTATGTTTGACACGTTTTTTCTCTCTCTCTTTCTCTCTCTTTCTTATGTCGTATCTGAAGGACCTCTCTCACTGACGTGTAATACATAATTTTTCTCACGGCACGGAACGCACGCCACGCCTGTCAAATTCGCGCTCGTTTCTCGATCGCTCCAGTCGTCGTCCGGGCGTTCTAACGTGTGCTTAATCGATACGGTATTTGCATACAATTAAGAAACGATTACAGACACCGCGCGCGCGATAACGCGGTGCGACAAGAGGGCCGAGAGCGTATCGTCATTTGCGTCGTTCTCCCGATCGATATCGCGTTTCCGGCTAGATTTTCACGACTTGAAACGTCTTTTGCGCGAACGACGAAGGGGAGGGAGGGGGGAGAAGGGGTATGTTTCGACCAGTGAACTCTATACATACTGGAATGAGTGATCTATTGTTCTGGCTGTTGCCGAGAGAGAGGTGCGTTTGGGTGAATCCTTGTCTCCTTCTAGTACTACCTGATTGGATAGTCGCGTATAAATGACGAGAAGAAGGGCGTCACTTATATGCGATTATCCAATCAGGTAGTACTAGAAGGAGACAAGGATTCACCCAACGCACCTCTCTCTCGGCAACAGCCAGAACTACAGATCACTCATTCCAGTATGTATAGAGTTCACTGGTTTCGACCATAGACTTACACAGATAGACCGTGCCACCTCGTGAGGGGTTTTGAACCAAACAAATGACGGAGTGGGCCTACTGGTTATACTATGGTATAACCAGTAAGAGAGAATAACCATAGAGAGAGAGAGAGAGAGAGAGGGAGGGAGGGGGGAGGCATTACGGACGGGTTATCTCTATCTTTCTCAGGTCTGCTCTTCAGCTCGCCCGTATGAAGGCGCAGTCTATTTGTACAAGTCTATGGGTCCGATGCTCCCAATATCGGGCGAAATAATGTTAGCCAGGCAATTAACAAATTCGGTTACTTGCGCCTGTTTACAGTCAATTCTTATGCGGGGTCCACAATGCGAGTCGCAGAGTCGTAGTCGTGAGAATAATCGACTGCGATTGGTCAATTCAGTCAGACACATATGTAAGTATTGACCAATCATCGTCGGTTATTCTTTCGAATAACGTTTAAGGGAATGCTGGAGTGATTCTGCACTGTTTGCAACTTTTGCTCCTGGAACTGTCAACAACATGAAAACATTTGTATAATATACAAATTATGTGGCCTTTGTATACAGACCGACAGTGTCCTACTATACGGACTAAATCGGAGAACAGCATGGTATCATTGAAATTAAGTATAGAAGCCTAACAACAAATCTATTCGCTCAAATAAGTTATAGGATAGGTAACCGATAACTTATTTACGCGAATACATTTCTTTTCAGGCTTCTAAACTTAGTTTCAATGATGTCATGCTATTCTCTGATTAAAGCCAGCGACACACGATACTATTTTTCCCTACTGGATTGCTTACGAGAACCAGTCAGAATGCAGAGTTTTAAGCCAACGGCACACGATACTATTTTTCCTACTTGATTCCTTACGAGAGCCAATCGGAGGATTTAAGCCAACGACACACGATACTATTTTTCCCCACTGGATTCAGGATTCAGCTTTGAGTCACCTGATCGAGAACTCTGCATTCTGATTGGTTCTCGATAGTATTGTGTGCCGCTGGTTGATATCCTGACTGGCTCTCGTATAAGCAATCCAGTAAAGGTCTGTGTCCACTTGGTCCAAGTTCTAGCATCGTGGACACAGGCCTTAAGAGAAATAGTATCGTGGGTCGTTGGCTTCAGTCCAAATAATGGGACACTTTCAATCTGTACACATAAGCTTTGTAATTTGTGTATTACACAAATGTTTTCATAAATTAACAGTTCTAGATGCAAAAAGTGCAAAAGGTGCAGAATCACTCCAGCATTCCCTTAAGGATCGTCTCAAACCTCTTGAAATACTTCTCAGCCAGTAAAATGATCTACACAGCATTCGTGCGGACCATTTTTTCGGCTAGATAGTTTTTGAACATGCATCTAAGACAGCCTTAAATACATGAATCGACTATGAACAAGTCTTAACGTGCACTCAGTGCGCGCTACAGTGCGAGCAACCGAATTCGTTAAAAGTTTAGCGCGACGACCGAGCGCGAAATATTATGGCGTTTCCGTTTCTATGCCCGGCCGCGATTGAAACCGATACAGATCTGACAATGAGAATCGACGGTGTCGGCACTGCAAACATAAACGCGAGTTTTATGTTTGTTCAACAGCGGAAACGCGAGAACTCGCGTAAAGCGCACTTGTTCATACACGCGTAACATCGCAGTTTCATATTCATCGGGCACAACCTCTCCAGGCGCGCAGGTGTAATTACAAAAAGGTATTTAATTGCAAATCTACATTTTTCAATGGCCGAAATATATATGTAATTTTATATATGCAGCACCGTTCGA